TCGGATGCTTTCGCCTTTGCTGTTCAATGTTGTTCTCAACTTTCCTCCTTGAAATGTGCTGATCTTGGCAAAGACGAAGGTCCAATTCCAGAGGAAAGGCGCAGTTCATGTTATCCTGTCTGATATTTTACTGGCAGATGATTTTATTGGAATGATGTATGCAGATGATATTTCCTAGTGAGGATATTGTCACAGCTGCGAAGGCCGACCTCTACCTTAACTCCTGGAAGTCTATATTAATGAGAAACCTGTCAGATACGTCTGATCTACTAGTGAAACAGAGAGGACAAACCAAAGAGTAAGTGAACCAGTTTAGGTGCCTCATCTTAATTATCGCCAGCGATGGGACGATCCAACCACAGTTAAACAGGAGAATAGCCCCCGCATCCAGTCTTTTTGGTAATCTGTCGCATATTTTTACTGAGAATGGGGTTGCCTTTTCCATAACGATCTGCCTGTGCCTTGCCTCTGTAAGGTCAGGGTTGTTTTACGGCATGGAAACAGTTGTTCTAATGAAGGAACAAGAACAACGGTTGAACTGAATGCAGCAACGTTGGCTTCGACGCATAATGAGCGTTAACTGGCAGGACCAAGTAAGGAATGGATCCATTCCCTTCCAGGTGCTGGTGACTTAAATAGACGAGGAGATCAAGAAAAAGAGGTTAGCGCTGTTAGACAAACTGGTTGAGCAGAAACCATTTACTCAAGTCCGCCGCTTCCTCGTATGTGAGCCGAAACATGACAGACGTTTGTCTGGAGGTTAACATGGAACCTGCAGAAGCAAGGCAGATCTGCTTCTGGGGTTGAATATTTTTTCTACGATGCAACTCCCGGCGCCATATAGAAAACGTGTTGAAAAGCTGCTAATTCAACGGACTTCGCACGCCCGAGACTTTCTGTTTATGCAACGACTCAAAGTAATGGTGACACACATGGACATCAGAACCGATGCCTGTCATGGAAGCGCATCAGTGATCGATATCCCAACGGCTACAAGCTTCTCTTGTTTTTCCCTGCTAACTGCTTCGGAAGCGTATGGCGTTGCGATATATTTTGCGGAATAGTTCTTCGGTTCGGATCTCTGAGGTCGCGGATCATTTAAGTGTGAGTGTGCTGAATGGTTTTCGACTGTTGACAAGTTATGTTTAGGACTTAAGTTGCGGACGACGTGGCGCGAGTTAGCCATTTGTTCGTAACCGTTGTGAAACTGTTTTTTTCTTTTTTAGGGAAACCTGCGTTCACTCAGAAAGATGGCAACTGAGTTCAGCGAACTGTGTTCTAAGTTGATCACGAAGGTGCGACTTTATCCCGATTTCCCTCACGCCGGGATACAGTTTTGGTGAGAACGGTTTAGCAGTTTCACGTTTCCATGTTTGTTTGTGTTGCAATGTTTCGGTGATTGTTGATGAAGGTAATTTCGAAAATCAGGCAATTTTTGCACTCCGCGAACACATAGGATGCTTTCGATCGTTGACTTCACTCACAAAACAGAATCGGGTTTGTTTTGACAATGCAGTCACAGAGCGCATCATTGAAACTGTTGGTCGCGTGTTTGAAACGGTGAACTAGTAAAAGTTGTAAACAATTCATAAGTAATCCCAAACATTGTTGAAAAGATGGTGCTGTAGAATTTAGTCTTAATTACTTTGCATTTCATTTCTGGTAAATGATGTAATATTTCAGGTTTTCAAGTTGTACTTGCTTCGAAAACTTGCTTTAAGTGTAAAAGTTGACTGTTCACTAGTTCAGTTGGATAATCAGAGAAGTTTACATTGTGACAAAAGTCGGAACAGACACTTTTGCAGATTGAAATCATGAAACTCAACGTAATGATGAGTGGAAATGAAAAATGCAGTTAGTCAATGGCTCAGCAGAAAAGAACAAATTTAGAGGTACGATCCAGGACATCACTATTAAGAACCCAAAATAAATCAATCTAGTTCAACATTCACGCTTAGTTTCATGTGATAAATGTGTGACGTAACTATACTTTTCAGATTAAAGTTTCAAAATCTGACACAGTTGCACAGTGAGAGCGACACAGCATAAAGTTGTTTCAGAGGCGCATCACTGAGGATTTTGCGTTTGTTGACTTGTGAATTTAAGCTCAGTAACTCAAACCTTTAATATTCTGTCGATCAGAATCGCTTCCAATATTATTGATAAAGATTCTGACCCTGGACATTGTAGTCTCAAAAGATGGTCTATCGGAAGTTGTTTTAGCCAGGGCTGAATGTCTCAGCTGCGTTGTGCGCATCGAATTCGATCTCAAAATCTTCGTTTCAACTTTTTTTGGAGATCCTCAGAAATCTCCCTGATGCTGAGGTATCAGGTATATGTTGTTTGCCATTGCGGACACTGTGACATATGCGGGATCACTGTGCAGTTCGATATTTTTTGAAAATTAGGGATCTTTTGACTTTTATTCTTGGAGTAGTACTAGTCTCACGGCTCATTTATGGGTGATGACGCCGGAACGGAGACTGACACTTCACTGAATCATTTCAATTGCGAGCATCACAAGTAGCACCAAACTCAGAGATATGCGGAAGAATGAACAGCTTATCTATTAAGACCTTGGTTTAATTTCTTTTTCTGGTAATCTAAACGCGGCTTAGTAGTTTTTGCGTACTCTACAGAGTACTTTCTACCGCAGATTTATATTTTGGCTATCCGACATAATTTTGCATTATTTTCTTCTAGGGACATTTTGCCGGTACTTGAAGATCCAACTTTAATGTGTGAATTATGCTATGCAATTAGTGACCATTGTAGAAAGTTACCTTGTCCTCTAGACGCTATTTTGGCTCTTGAAGCCCGTGGCTTCCTGTTTGGACCTACAGTGGCCATGAACCTCAAGATTCCGTTTGTTCCGGTTCGTAAGAAGGGCAAACTGCCCGGACAAACTATTCAGGCCAGCTACGCGAAAGAGTACGGACTGGTAAGTAATCGACGATGCTGGTCTAATTCAGTGCATGTGTTCTTTCCCTTTGGTTTCCGTTTCATGAAGGGTTGTTAGTCCTATGCATCCTGAGTATATGTGTCGCATATCGCATCGTCAAGCGTAGTGTTAGAGTTGGAGTCTTATTCATGCCATGTAAAGTGGGCGACATTGGAACTCGATCGACTTTGCTCTGTAAAGCTGCAATTTCGAATTCCAGTGCGGCATAAAATTTTTCTAATCATTGCTAATGCCTTTCAGCACACGTATACAAGCTCTAACATTATCAGATACAGCTTAATATCGTTTATATAAAAGAGAACACTAACCTTATAAGTTTTATAACAAAACTGCTAGTTTTCGATACTATCGGTCAGAAAATAACATAACATTATTTTGTTCCTTCTATATTACACGGCGTAGGCGCGACATTCCCTTGCTTCTAGTGGCCTGTGGGGCCATTTATGCAGACTATGGTTCCATGGTATTTTAGCACCTACAGTGCATGGGAAGAGTGCTACTACGCCATGCAAACTTGACAGTAACAGAAAATGTTACCATCGTTTACTTTTGATGGACGCCAATGCATTTTAATCTAGGTGTTGACTGTTCGAAGTAAACGAACACACTCCTTTAACTAGGTACTGAACAATCGTGCTTTTTAGCACATAAAATGAATATAAATAAATGGGTATAACGGACAGGTGGAGCAAAAGATCAACGGAGAACAGCTAAGGCATATCAAGTTCGCTGGTGACGCTGTGTTGATTGCGGGTGTCGTTTAACTGGATGAAATGTTTATCGAACTCGGGCCAGGAAATCAACATGCGACACCACCATAAGG